TTTAATTACAGGCTCCTTATTAGGTTACAGAAGCTAAAATCTTTCAATTTTGCCTCCAGCTGGACTTGAACCATTGATCTTGACTGTGGAGAGTATGGGAGCTTAACAGCTAAGCTATGGGACTCACACCCTTTTATATTTAATATATATCTATTTTTATTCTTTTAATTAATATATATATCTTAAAGACAATTGCTAATTTTAACCAGTGGTAAAATTACCGATTTTATTGTGTAACATATAAATTATAATTACCTGCTATATACATAAATACAATTATATATATATATATAGTTATATGTATTTATAGTACTACATAATATATAAATTGTGAAACCGGTTTTATTTTTCTTATATTAAACCGATTAAAATCAGTTTAATATAAGAAAATAAACCTGTATTTAACCTCTAACTTGTATTAGTATAATACAATGCCAGGATTAATTTTCCGATATCAGTTAGCCAATTAAAAACTGATATCAGGTATTACATAAAGAAAATCAAAACAAACGTTCGCTCATGAAATATAGACTAGTAAATCACCTTTTTGGTCCTAACAAAAAATTTTTTTTTGCACAATTGTACTATATTATAGCTCTTAAATTGGAATGCTAACCTAAATCCTGATCCAAACTTTAAATACAAATTAAACTGTTATATATGCATATGTACTTAGCAAAATTAGTACATAGCTGAGTAATTTTACTTGATATATATAAGCTACTAGTTTATTAATAAGAATTTGAAATTCTGGCCTATTTTGATCATAAATTTAGGCCAATTTGATGAATTTTGATTGCTAATTTATTCTACATGAAAATTAAAGATCATTATAGTTACAAAAATTTTTTTTACCTAAAACTCCTAACTCTAACTGCTAACTAAAAAAAACAACTTATATTTGTGCTCACTCTTACCCTAACTATTATAAAAGGACAACATATAGAAATCTAATTTGATAGATAAGCTTTCTTAATTATATGATCACACTTTAAAGGTTCTATTTGAATTTACTAATATCGTTATCATATATTACTATTGTGCTTTAATGAAACGAAAAAAATTATATAAACTATACCTTTGTGCATCATTCGATTGCTAGAAGAGATTATAATTATTCTGAGTTAACTAAACTTATATAAATGTTAGTAAAAATAAGACTTCAGACTTCCAAGTTTATTATCTATTATTTACCAGATTTAGACTATATTATTAGCATCAAATTTTCATAGACTGAATTTGGTAAATAATAGATTATAAATTTAGAAACTCAAAGCTTTATTTTTTTAGAATCTTGTATATTAGTATCATTATGATAACATACAAATTTAAGACTGCTATAATGCAAAGCTTTAGTATAACTCATTAAGCATCATTATAATTAAATTGTATACATAGATAAAACACTACAATCAATTTTTACATGTTGCTCTGTTATGTCCCTTTTGCTTACAATTTTGACATGTTTTGCATGTATTCTTTTCTTTTAATCTATTGTGCACATTTTCAGATTTATTAACTACCTGATTAACATTTATCAGTTGAAGATAATGATGTTTTTTTGTCTAATTTTCCTGAATTTCAACAGCACTTTTTGCTCTTTCCGGAGGTCTTCCTCTTCAAGCTGTAATTATTGGATTTCCAATATTAAATTCATCATTTTGCTGTGATTCATCTTGTGGTGATTCATCTTGCAGTGATTTATCTCATGATGATTCATCTTGTAATGATTTTTCTTGCTGTGATTCTTGAATGTGCTGCTTATTTAATATAAAAGTTTGACAAATGCCTATTAATTCATCATACGAATTAGTAGAAATTGCTAAATCAAGAACTTTTCACATTATGCCTTGTGCACAGCCATATTTTTGGCGTGTACTATTAATTTTTTGCAATACTAGTGTATAAACATCTGAATTGCGAATCTCTTTCAAATATCCAAAATCGCTTGTAATTTCTTGATTTTGAATGTTATTAATGCATAATGAAATAGAAGATTTTTTCCAAATTTTATTTGGATTTTCTTTGATAATATCATCCTTATACCATCATCTTGCAATAAGTCCGATATGCCATTTAGCTTGAGATGAACAACGTAAAATTTTATAAAAATGTCGACATGGATAACCATATGTTATAAGAAGATTACATATACATATATGTAAACCATCTACTGTAAGTATAATATATTGTCTTTTAGTTCCACAAGACAATACTAATTTCTAAATTTCAATGATTTGTTTATATCCAACTTTTTTAACTATATTGACCAAATGAACTTTCATAAGCTCATAGTTGTCTTCATGTATTCCTTCATCATAATCTATATTTACTTGTTCCTTATAATATAAATCGGTTAGTATAATAAATATTTTTGGTTTAATAATGCATAATTCAAATAGTTACCTGTAATATAGACTCAAGATCCATATGGTTGATTTTAATACAATCATAAAAGAAACATTCTTGCATTTGCTTACAAACCTTAAAAACCATTGTTGGCATAAGGTATTGTGAAATAACTGTTTCAATTGAATTAAAATATGTTTTAGGCACTGTTGCAAGTCTAACTTTAGGAATTTCACCTTCATATTCTTCTATTCTCATATAATTTGATTCTTTGTCAAGTATATCTTAAATTTCTTTAACTAATTCTAAAAGCGACGAATTAGATCCTACACAGGTATGAAATTTACAATTTAGATTTTCTACATGCTGTGTACTATTTGCGCCTGCAGTAAATTGGTTATTGATATAGCATACAGCCCACTTTGTCTTTGTTGGATCTAATTGACGTTTTATATAACTACTTGCTGAAGTATATTTTAACTTCAAAGCTTCCCAACACCTTTCAAATAAATCTTCAACCATAGTATTTCTACATTTAAAAAAGTTCGTACAGGACTCTCGAAATTCATCTGAATTAAGCTTATTTCGAAGATTTTTTTTTAAATTGAGATCGATATGAAATAAATATAAACAATGAACAGAACTTGAAAATTTTAAATGTATTGCACTAGCCATTCCAGGATTAGAATCTGTAAATATTACTTGTGGTATTAAATTATTCATACACTTATTAATCATTTGAAATGTCCAAATAAAACTATCTTCAGTTTCATCTTTAAGTAAAGTAGATGCAACAAGTTGTGATTTATTACAGTTGTTAATGATAACAAAAAAGCATGCGACCATATTATATTTATTTGTGCGAGAAGTTGTATCAAAAAAAATAACATCATAATATCTAGTCCATAAATATTGTTGATCGGGTGATATCCAAATTAGTCCACTCAATCTTCGCTCAAGTCCATCAAATCTACTTTCAACAAACTATCTTGAATCTTCAGTATGTTTTGAATATAAATAGCGCATAAGATCAGATGCATCAAATTTAGCTCTTTTAGTCAAATGTTTCTTTGCAGCTTGGATAGCATTATAAAGGTTTTTTTGATGAATTCTTATTTCTGAAAATTTGCTTTTTAGTAATCGACCAATAGGTTGTGCACCTGATATTCCACTTTTTATATAAAATTCAATAAATTGAATTGTATTACTATTAAATTTATGATATTTTGCAATTGTAGTAGTAGGTGAAGGCATTATTGGATGATTATGTTGATCCACAACAGTAGTAAAAATAATTGATAATGATAATTTCTTAGACATATTTCCATTAATTTTCCACTTACAATCAGTAGCTTTAGATTGTCTGTTTCGATGATTAGCAGAGTTTAACACTTTTTTTGGTTGATATTTACCCACACAACTACATTCCCAATTAATTCTTGTTATGACTTTGTTCTTATTTTCAGTAAAATCTTCATTTCATTTTTTACGAATACTAAACCCTTTTTCTTTTTCATAATTATTAAAAAACTCTTCAGCTTCGTCCCATGTATGAAAACTTTGTTCTATATATAATCCAGATGGTATTACATTATTTTCATCATTTGAAGAATCAGTATCAAAAATTTTATTGTAGTCATTAATTTCACGGTATGCATTAATCTCATTATAGTCATTAATCTCATCATAGTCATTAATTTCATCATAGTCATTAATCTCATCATAGTTATTAATCTCACTTTGACTTTCATTTAATTGTAATTCTTCATTATCGAGACCAAGCCTACATATAAATAGATTATAAATGAATAAGTAAATAATATAGCTTTATTGACTAAAAAGCTTAATAATACCTACATAGATCGAGGGTGTAATTGATTTTGGTTTACTTGATAATCGTATGAAGGTTTAATAAAACTATTTATTGGTGTATCGCTTGACAATGAAGTTATATTTTGATCATAAAATGAATATGGATCCTAAATGAATTAAGCCTTTTTTAGTTAAGAATTATAAAGCAAAATAAATCGAATTAAGTATTCATCAATAGATAATTTACCTGAGTAGACCATTGATTATTATAAAGAAAATCTTGAAAAGAGTGTGAAGCCAGAGAAGATTATTGTGCAGACCAAATTTCCTTGTCATAGTATAATACACGATTATTTTGTCTATCTGAAGTGCTTTCTTTGCCCGATTTCTAATACAATTCAAAGTTACTTTGTTTATAAAAACTGCCATTTTCAGTAGATTTCAAATACGAAGAATTACTGCTTTCAACAGACTTCAAATATGAAGAATTACTGCCTTCAACAGATTTCAAATACTTATATCCAACTCTTTCATTTATTATAATGTTAGAGCATAAAATATAGAGAACCACTGCTTAACCTATTATAACAGAATTTAGAGCGATAATGCTTAGAGTGCGATGTAAATCAGAATTTGTAATCTCAAAAAAAAAAATTCATAATAACCTTATCTTTCAAAAGAATAATAACGTTTAGAGTACATATGTACGTAGATCAGAGTTTACAACAGCCTTATGTTCATATAAAAGTAGCTTGCAACCTATTGTACAGTATACTGGAATTAGAACTATAATGTTTAAAGTATGTAGGAAGATCAGAATTCTGAATAGTCTTAAAGCAGAAATTATAACAACCTTATGTCTTATGTTTAAAAAGAATGAAATAGCTTGTGCAGATAACCCGCACTTGTAACAATATTAGAAGTGTAAAGAAGAAAAAAAAAAAAAAAAAAAAAAGAATAAAAAAAATTTATCCTGTATAACCATAAGTATGTCATAAGTATGCTGATCTTTAGTATAACAAGTAAAATTACCACCGGTTAAAAGAAGTTATTTCCTAATATATTAATTATATTATTTTCTGTAGTTCAGCTTTTTGCAAAGTTTGGTTCAAATGATCATTAGAAAGAGTGAAAACCATGTTGCATTATTTATATATTTTTTTGGCTATCTACATTCATGTTTAGTTCATATTTATATTCATGTCTACAAATATTTATAATGTTTATATATTTTATTGCTTAATATATATTATTAAAAATATATAATTATATATAAAATTTAATAATAAACTTTTTTTTTTTTTTTTTTGGTATTAAGGTGACCTCTTTGGTCTTTTGACTTTTATTAATCACTTGTCGGTATTGTG